ATTTCCTTCTGATTTTCCCACCAATATCCTATATGCATTCCTCGCCTCCCCCATTCGTACTACATGCCATGCCAACCTCATCCTCCTTGACTAGTGATACTGAACACAGTTCAAAAATCACTAGTCGAGGAGTAAATACTTTTACAACCAGATCTGTTGTACTGCAGAGTCTCTCTCCTTCTGGCTTTCCCACCAATATCCTATATGCATTCCTCGCTTCCCCCATTCGTGCTACATGCCCTGACAACCTCATCGTCCTCGACTAGTGATATTGAACACTGTTCAAAAATCACTAGTCAAGGAGGCGAGAAAATGCATATAGGATATTGGTGGGAAAGCCAGAGGGAAAGAGAGACTGCAGTACAAGAGATGTGGTTGTAAAAGTATTTAGTGCTCGTAGCGAAAAAAGCATTGGAGGGGGGCAGAGGGGGAGCACTCAAAATAGTTGGTAATGTAGCATAACTTCTTACCGATTGTGCTCTCGGCCCAGGAAGTCATTTTAAGTTTAGTTCGTGTAAGAAGAACATGGATGGCAGCAGCATTGCACTGAGGTGTCATGGCCACCATGTTGCCAACCAATAACATGGGAGTTGCACGGGGCTGGTACATAGCGTCCACATAAGCCTGACTGCGTCATCCACCAGAAGTCTTCAGGCGCTAACGCCACCATCGGCTTAATTTACAACACTCACGATCACGAGACATCTTCCGTCTCTGTCAATCCCGGAATTTGCAAACAGTTCAAATCGCCCAGTCAAAAAACAGCCTTCTGAGTGCAATTCAGGCTCATGTACAACGCTTCACAATTCCAATATATTTAATTCCTTGAAGCAATAAACAAAACGGCCACATACTTTAACATTAAAATCTATGATTTTTTGTGTTCCGTATGATTCTCACAATAAATGGTGACTTTCACAGCTGAAAAATATATTAATTTAAGAAACACCCATAAGAAATTCATCTTCAATTTCACGATAAGGAAATAATTCTTTCGACAGCAACCAGTGTGTTCAGTATGTGCTTTCTATTTAATCGGTATTAGGGCCTTGCGCGGTGCTCTCTGTTCGCGTAAACATAACATTCGATTTCCTGCAGCTCTGCCAGTCAGTCTAAATAGTATGGTGACCTCACAGTTACGATGGCCGAGTGACTATATCAACATACCACAAAGAAGATATGCGTGTGGTTGTGAACAAAGCAAACAAACAAAAGAAACAAAGCCCTTGGTTGCTTGTGATTACAACAGAAACATCCTAGGAGTGGATCTCAGGATCAAATGCTACAGCCATACTTGCTTGAACGAAATGGGAGTACTAAGTGGTATCAGAAGTTATTCAAGAGGCTACTCAATGTAGCAATACATAACGTAATGGTCATATATCGGTGTCTCCCGAATAACAAAATCATGGGCACGCTAAAGTTCAGACTTTCACTAGCACAAGGCCTCTTGGAAAATTACGGTTCTGGTTTTGCTCATCCTATATACGGCCGTCCGTCAGTTGTGCCGCTGCCTAAAAGACTCGCAGAACGACATTTCCTGGAGTGTATTCCAGTCAAAGGAAAAAAGCAAAGCCTCAAAAAAGATGTGTGGTGTGCGCAAAACATGGTAAAAGGAAAGAATCTATTTACTGGTGTAGTGAATGTGAGGCAGGGTTGTGGTTAGATGGATGTTTCAAGAAATACCATACGAAACTCAATTTCTAATCCACTTGCTTCCATCGCTCAGATAGAGGGCGCTCATATTATAAGGTAAGATTATAAAACCATCTTCTAAGATGATTTCAGTGAAAAATTCATAATTATACCTCATATAGTTCAAACGTTATGATACATAATAAAATTTAGAGCAAAATTTGAATGGGCAATTAAAAAATACTACCGCAGGAGGCCCCACAATAGCGATATTTAAATGCCGACGCTGAAGGGTTAAACCTCTTCTTTAGTCTGCACATTGTGCTACGTTTGCCTCGCACAACAAAATTACGTATCCCGCTGTCGGCCAACACTGCATTGTTACTTCCCTCTTACCTGCAAGATCTTATGCCGACATATTTTTCGACCACACTGCACAAACAGATTTTATCGCTTTCTAATTTTTAATTATTACAAGCCGTAAAATAAGCTCCCATACTCTTTCACATCGCACCAACCACACAAACAAAACGTCTACCTTAAGCACCTTCATTCTCTGGCCGACACTAGCGCCGTCGAACTGTCAAGTATTCATCCGAATGTATTTGATATTTTCATTAAAACATTACTTATTCGCGCTGTACTTGAAATACACATTTAATCAGTACAGTTTTCCCCCACACTCACAATGCTGTCTCGATAGGTCTACTTTACATTAAAGAAATTCAAAGAAATTTGCTCAGAGATTTAAGACTTTGAAGCAGTTTAGTTATTAAATATTACGTTCATAAATGCAGTTCTTACATAACAGAAAACCATTATTCATGTTAATTACAAAGACATATCAGCTCATTATTCTTCACGTTATTTTACGACGCTTCCAGTATCTACAAAACTACGCATGTATACCCGTAACCTGGCACCGACAGCGAAATAAGCTGCTATTAAAAGCTGTTGCTGGGTATTCGCTTCATAAACAGAAGCCGATGCTAGGTAATTGCTCTCTAAACACAGGTCATTGCGAGATAATCGCTCTGTAAATAAAAGTTGTTGCTAGGTAGTGTAACGTGTTTCTTGCCACTGAAGACGCCCTTCGGATTGTTAATTGGTTTAGTTAACAGCCTACAACGCTCTGAAGGTGTTACGTCACCGCTGGCGGGGTAGGGGAAGTAGTAACGTCAGCGCTCTGACGTCACAGTACATTACGACACCAGGCGACACGGGGTCAGGCCCAGGATATATAACGAAGCAGCTAGCTTGATTCTGCACTTTGACTTCAACAGTGAGGCGAAGAGTGAGATATACTAGTGACAGTGTGCCACTGCCAAGGAACGACTAGTAAAAACTCGGCGCTTGCAGTATAATTTAAGGAGTGTGTAGAATAGTGAAAGTGTTACAGATTCACAGACGGTAAGGCAGCTACAACAGGTCTTCTTTGGATTTAGCAGTCTGAACGAAACCCGTGCTAGACGTCCTAAATAGTATTTCGTAGTGTTGTAAGAAAAAGCCACGAAAATGTGGCAAACATCGGCCAAGATTGTAATATGCGTAGCTCTTTTGGTATTTCCCCAATTAGGAATATACCCTAAAATCCAAGAATTGGGACTATCTACTGCACCTGGACCCATCACGGCACCTGGACACATCGCAGCACTTGGACACATCCCAACACCTGAAGCGATCCCAGCACCAGTACCATTACCAGTACCAGAAACTATCGCAGCACCTGGACCCATCCCAACACCTGAAGCGATCTTAGCACCTGTACCATTACCAATACCAGAAACTATCACAGCACCTGG